GGGCGCGGTGGCTCAAGCCTGTAATCCCAGCACTTTGGGAGGCGGAGGCGGGTGGATCACGAGGTCAAGAGATCGAGACCATCCTGGTCAACATGGTGAAACCCCGTCTCTACTAAAAATACAAAAAAATTAGCTGGGCGTGGTGGCACATGCCTGTAATCCCAGCTACTCAGGAGGCTGAGGCAGGAGAATTGCCTGAACCCAGGAGGTGGAGGTTGCGGTGAGCCGAGATCGCGCCATTGCACTCCAGCCTGGGCAACAAGAGCGAAACTCCGTCTCAAAAAAAATAAAATAAAATAAAATAAATTAATTAATTAATAATAATAATAAAAGAAAGTTAAAACTACCTCCTACTCCCTTTATTTTGTTCAATGTTTTTCATCTTTCTATAGCACTTACCATCTTTTCAACACACTATATAATTTTATTATTATTATTATTATTATTTTTTTACTATCTATCCCTGCCTGGTAAATGTAAAATCTAAGAGGAAAGAAATAGTTGTCTTATTTAGTGAAGTATTTCAATCAGCTAGAATAGTGCCTGAACAATGTGGGCACTTACCAAATATTGGCTGAATGAGTGAGTGATGGGGATTCAGAAATGATGGTTGCCACTACTGGGTTAGTGCTGTGAGTTGGATGGTAACCCTTCTACCCCACCAGAAAAAAAGATATGTTGAGTCCTAACCCCCATTACCTCAGACTATGACCTTATTTGAAATAGGGTCTAGGCCAGGTGCAGTGGCTTATGCCTGTAATCCCAGCACTTTGGGAGGTTAGGTGGGCAGATCACAAGGTCAAGAGTTTGAGACCAGCCTGGCCAATGTGGTAAAACCCTGTCTCTACTAAAAATACAAAAATTAGCTGGGCATAGTGGCATGTGCCTGTCATCTCAGCTACTCGGGAGGCTGAGGCAGAAGAATCACTTGAACCTGGGAGGCAGAGGTTGCAGTGAGCCAAGATAGCATCATTGCACTCCAGCATGGGCAACAAGAGTGAGACTCCGTCTCAAAAAAAAAAAAAAAAAAAAAAGGGAGGGGGGCGGTTGGAATTTAGAGTCACATAGGGAGAATGCCATGTAAAAATGAAGACAGAGATCAATGTAATACATGGACAAGCCAAGGAAGGTCAAAGTTTGCCAGCAAACCATGAGAAGCGAGGCCAAGAGGCATGGAGCGGGTTTTCCACGACAGCCCTCAGAGGGAAACAACCTTGATTTCTGACTTCGAGCCTCCAGACTGTGAAACAAACCATTTCTGTCATCTTAGGCCAAGCAGTTTCTGGTGCTTTGTTATGGCAGCCCTAGGAAATGAATAGATATTTGAGAAGGTCTAAATGAGGTCTAGAAACTTACTTAGACCTGGAAGTACCTGAAAACTGTAAAGCAATAGCCAAACAAGGTGTAATAGGTAAACAAGAACATGCCCTCAAAAGTTCACTGTGTATGCTTGAGGACTCAGTAGGACAGTGGCTAAGTTCTGCATTCTCTCTCTCTCTTTTTTTTTTTTTTTTTTGAGACAAAGTTTCACCTTTGTTACCCAGGATGGAGTGCAATGGCGCGATCTCAGCTCCCCGCCGCCTCCACCTCCTGGGTTCAAGTGATTCTCCTGCCTCAGCCTCCCAAGTAGCTGGGATTACAGGCATGTGCCACCACACCTGGCTAATTTTTGTATTTTTAGTAGAAATGAGGTTTCCCCATGTTGGTCAGGTTGGTCTTGAACTCCCAACCTCAGGTGATGCATCCTCCTGAGCCTCCCAAAGTGCTGGGATTACAGGCATAAGCCACCGTGCCTGCTGCCTTTTCTCTTTTCTTTCTTTTTTTTTTTTTTTTTGAGACAGAGTTTTGCTCTTGTTACCCAGGCTGGAGTGCAATGGCGTGGTCTCGGCTCACCGCAACCTCCGCCTCCCGGGTTCAGGCAATTCTCCTGCCTCAGCCTCCTGAGTAGCTGGGATTACAGGCACGTGCTACCATGCCCAGCTAATGTTTTGTATTTTTAGTAGAGACGGGTTTTCACCATGTTGACCAGGATGGTCTCGATCTCTTGACCTCGTAATCTACCCGCCTCGGCCTCCCAAAGTGCTGGGATTACAGGCTTGAGCCACCGCGCTCGGCCGCCGTCTCTCTTTTCTCCACTCTGTCTCCCCTCCTCACCATCACTGTCACACAAAAACATTTGCTCTAAATCTTAGGGGAATTCCTAAGCTCCTATTTCCCATAAAGGATTCAGCTGAGCAGCAACCAGCTGTTCTTGAAGCTTTTCTACAAGTCTGAACTACACTTTTAGTGTAATATTTTCATCTACTTTCTGGAAGATTAGAACCTCTCTGGTGCAGGGCTTTCTGTTTGAAGGTGTTCTATTCAGATAGATCACTCATCCTCAAGGCATACCCACACACATAAACATACCACTATCCCACTCTCCACCACTCCCCACTCTGCCGACCCATTCCAACAGAATGCGGAAGAAGATGGTTGCCTTTAACAGGCCCTGTTATGATAACACTGTCCCAGGAGGGTCAGTAATGACATTGGAAGGGTTAGAGGATAGTGGCTAGAAGCTATTAATGGGTCTCCCGTGGGCTTTTCTTTGTTTGGGGAATGAGATTCTGTTTGGGGTTTTGTAAGGTGATTCAGATCACCCCATGGGCACTGTGGCTTCTGAATTGCTAATAATCTAAAGGAACAGATCATAGGCACCAGGAAGGTAAGGATGTCCTAGGACATAGGCAGAAAACCAAGACAGAAAGTTTTAGGCTAAGCTGGAAAGGATCTGACGCTGGGGAGGGTCAGCCACCAGGAGTGACAGAGCAGGGTGAGATCCCAAGCCTGAAAGAACAGGGCAGTAAGTCAGGAGCCAATTCTTGCTCACTGGAGTAGGACCCACCAAGGAAGGGATTTGGTGTCGAGGAATAAGTCAAGATCCTGGTAATAGAACTGTGGGTCAAGGTTAGAGAGAGTCTGGCAGTGACACTGACTTAGGGGTAAACTCACAAAATCTCACCTGAAATTTTAAAATTATCTTTGGTTTGCAATGGGAGCCAATCATTTATTAAGCATCTGTTAATCACCTGTGATATATGAAGATGTACAAGGCACTGTGGGTACAGCAATGACAGTCCTTATTCTCAAAGAGTTCACAGTCTAGTAGGAGAGAAATTAAAAATAAACTAATGACAACATAATGTGTTAAGTGTGATAAGAGAAGTATGACAGAAGAGGGGAATGCTGTAGTGGTTAAGAGTTCAGGCTATGGGTCCAACGAATCTGACTTTAGGTCCTGACCCTGCAATCACAGGTTGCCTGATCTTGAGTAAGTTACTAAGCTTCTATAAGCTTCAATGTTTCTCATAAATGAGTCCAATAATAGTACAGTTGATCCTTGAACAACATGGGCTTCTTTTCTTTTCTTTTTTTTTTTTTTTTTTTTGAGATGGAGTCTCATTTTGTCGCTGGGCTGGGGTTCAGTGGTGTGATCTCAGCTCACTGCCATCTCCACCTCCTGGGTTCAAGGGATTGCCCTGCTTCAGCCTCCCAAGTGGCTGGGCCTACAAGTGTGCACCACCATGCCCAGATAATTTTGTGTGTGTGTGTGTGTGTGTTTTTTTTTTTAGTAGAGATGGGGTTTCACTGTGTTGGCCAGGATGGTCTCGATCTCCTGACCTTGTGATCCACCCACCTCAGCCTCCCAAAGTGCTGGGATGACAGATGTGAGCCACCACGCCCAGCTCTCAACATGGATTTCAACTATGTGGATCCACTTCTGCGCAGATTTTCTTCCTCTGCCCCTACCACCCCAAGATAGCAAGACCAACCCGCCTTCTTCCTCCTCCTCAGCCTACTTGTGAAGATGATGAGGATGAACCCCGGAGGTGGAGATTGCAGTGAGCCGAGATTGTGCCACTACACTCCAACTTGGGCAACAGAGCAAGACTCCATCTCAATAATAATAATAGGCTGGGCACAGTGACTTACTCCCGTAATTTCAGCACTTTGGGAGGCTGAGACAGGAAAATCCCTTAAGGCCAGGAGTTCAAGACCAGCCTGGGCAACATAGCAAGATCCCATCTCTACAAAAATAAGAATATTAGCCAGACATGGTGGTGTACTTCTGCAATCCCATCTACTTGGGAAGTTGAGGTGAGAGAATCACTTGAGCTTAGGAGTTTGAAGCTGCAGTCAGCTATGATTGCACCATTGCACTCTGGCCTGGGTGACAGTGGGAGACTGTCTCAAACAATAATAAGTAAAAGTTTTATGTGAATTTTTTTTACTGTGTGTGGGGTCAGCACCTCTAGGCACCCCCCATGTTTTTCAAGGGTCACCTGTACTTACCTACAATGTAAGATTTTTTTTTTATTTTAAGAAAACTGTCTCACTTTGTTGCCTAGGCTGGTCTCAAATTTCTGGCCTCAAGTAATCCTACTGCCTCAGCCTCCCAAAGAGCCGGGATTACAGGTATCTGTAAGATTCTTATGAGGATCTAATTAGATCATACATGTCTGGCATCTAGTAAATTCTCAATAACATTGACTATTATTTTATAATAAATTGTTTTAATAACAATAATTATTATAATTATCTGCAGAAAGCTAAGTCAGAAAATGTTTCTAAGAAAGGTGGCATTTGAAGTGAATCCTGAAGAATAAAAATGTTACTGGGCTAGACCTGGGAGGAAGTGAATAAATTGCTTTTGTTTTTTAATTATGCCCTGTCAGATTTCTCAGAAGGTTTTAGCTAGGATGATGAATGAATTCAGTGATAGTCAAATTGAATTTGAGAAACTCATGAGCAACACAGGATGTTTTGGCCTCTTTATAATCTCAAATCTTACGTATTTGCCTCATATATAATTGTAGCTCCATGAAATGAATATAACTATTAATCTTTTTTCTGCTTAATCTTCAATACTACAGATAGAAATAACACAAAATAAAATGGAAGATGCCAGAGTTGCACACCGTACACTTTTATTGTGATTGAAAAACTGACATTCAATTCTCCTTAACCCAGAAAAACTGGACTTGATGAGAAAAAAGGGAGGTGGGTAGGCACAAAATAAAAATTACTTTGGTAGAAATTGTAAGAGACAAAATTTGGTATGGACAAAAATAAAGTGAAACTGATTAATAAATCCAATCTTTGGCCAGGCACTGTGGCTTGCACCTGCAATCTTAGCACTCTGGGAGGTTGAGGCAGGCGGGTCACTTGAGATCAGGAATTTGAGACCAGCCTGGCCAACACGATGAAACCCTGTCTCTACTAAAAATAGCCAGGAGTGGTAGCAGGCATCTGTAATCCTAACTACTCGGGAGACTGAGGCAGAAGAATTGCTTGAGCCCAGGAGGCAGAGGCTGCAGTGAGCTGAGATCACACCATGCACTTCAGCCTTGGCAACAGAGCAAGACTCTGTCTCAAAAAAATAAATAAATAAATAAATAAATCCAATCTTTGTCATAAATTATTGTAGTAGAAAAGAATTATTTCAGTAAGGTAAAAATTTAAATAAAGCTTAATTGCATTCTATAGGAAATTAATATAGAAATTAAGTGGCCATAATTAAATTTATTCCAAAAGCTACCTTTGGGATGAGAAGCCATTCATATTGATATAATTCTGATTACTCTGTTTGGTTTCACAAACATGGACTCAAAACATCCTTAGAAGCAAAATATTGGGTCAAAATCTCCAGTAACATATAGGTGGAGTGGTCTAGGAAGTAACTGGAATTTATTTGTCTAGAGCTTAAGAAATCAGGGCAACAGCAAATCCAGATTTTGCAGGAAAATTTTTGTCTTGAGGTGGTGTCCTGCTCTGCTGCCCAGGCTGAAGTGCAGTGGCTTGATCAGAGCTCACTGCAGCCACAAACTCCTGGGCTCATGCAGTCCTCTTGCCCAAGCCTCCTGAGTAGCTGAGGCTACAGTATGAGCCACCAGACTGGGCTAAATTTTTTGTACAGACAGGTTTTTGCTATACTTCCCAGGCTGGTCTCAAGTGATCTCCCTGCCTCAGCCTCCCAAAGTACTGGGATCACAGATGTGAGCCACTGTGCCTGGCCGAAATACAGATTTTTAAGTTATCAATGTGTAAGTATTAATCTGGTTTTTTTTTTTGCATCTGCCATAAAATAATAATGCATAGTAGGAATCTAATAAATGCTTGTTGAATGTTAGACTCTCTCTAGTCAGCCCTACAAGCAATATGAACAGAAGAATTTTAACTGTAGAGTCATTCATTTTAATTTAGCAATTACTAAATACTTTATAAAAATGTACTTTCATAGCTGGGAGAGTGATAAGCTGAATAAAACTGAGGTTTGCCAAGACTTGAACATATGGAGTATAACCACAAGTCCTATCAAAAACTATACTATGTTGGCTGGGCGTGGTGGCTTATGCCTGTTATCCCAGCACTTTGGGAGGCTGAGGCAGGAGGATCACTTGAGCCCAGAAGTTCAAGATCAGCTTGAGCAAGACAGTGAGAACTCATCTCTACAAAAAAAATTTAAAATTGGCTTGGTATTGTTGTGAGTACCTGTGGTCCTAGTTACTGGGAAGGCTGAGGTAGGAGGCACTTCAGCCTAGGAGGTCAAGGCTGCAGTGAGCCAAAATCAAGCCATTGCACTCCAGCTTGGGCAGCAGAGTGAGAACCTGTCTCAAAAAAAAAAAAAAAAAAAAAAAAAAATATATATATATATATATATATATATATACACACACACATATATATATATATATATATATATTACTATGTCTGATCTATAACCTGAAATATTTTTATCTTCATGTTCCTTATTCACTAACATTTTATTTTTCTTTAAAATTTTTTTCTTTCTTTTTAAATTTGTTTCTACAGATTTCTTCATTCTCCATTTACCAAGGTCATGGGAGATATAGAGGAAACATTATTTGAAGAATTTGAGAACTATTCCTATGAACTAGACTATTACTCTCTGGAGTCTGATTTGGAGGAGAAAGTCGAGCTGGGAGTTGTTCACTGGGTCTCCCTGGTGTTATATTGTTTAGCTTTTGTACTGGGAATTCCGGGAAATGCCATTGTCATTTGGTTCACGGGGTTCAAGTGGAAGAAGTCAGTCACCACTCTGTGGTTCCTCAATCTGGCCATTGCTGATTTCATTTTTGTTCTCTTCCTGCCCCTGTACATTTCCTATGTGGCCATGAATTTCCACTGGCCCTTTGGCATCTGGCTGTGCAAAGCCAATTCCTTCATTGCCCAGTTGAACATGTTTGCCAGTGTTTTCTTCCTGACGGTGATCAGCCTGGACCACTATATCCACTTGATCCATCCTGTCCTGTGTCATCGGCATCGAACCCTCAACAACTCTCTGATTGTCATTATATTCATCTGGCTTTTGGCTTCTCTAATTGGTGGTCCTGCCCTATACTTCCGGGAAACTGTGGAGTTCCGTAACCATACTCTTTGCTATAACAATTTTCAGAAGCATGATCCTGACCTCACTTTGATAAGACACCATGTTCTGACCTGGGTGAAATTTATCTTTGGCTATCTCTTCCCTTTGCTAACAATGAGTATTTTCTACATGTGTCTCATCTTCAAAGTGAAGAAGCGAAGCATCCTGATCTCCAGCAAGCATTTCTGGACAATTCTGGCTGTGGTTGTGGCCTTTGTGGTTTGCTGGACTCCCTATCACCTGTTTAGCATTTGGGAGCTCACCATTCACCACAATAGCTATTCCCACTATGTGCTGCAAGCTGGAATCCCCCTCTCCACTGGTTTGGCATTCCTCAATAGTTGCTTGAACCCCATCCTTTACGTCCTAATTAGTAAAAAGTTCCAAGCTCGCTTCCGGGCCTCGGTTGCTGAGATACTCAAGTATACCCTGTGGGAAGTCAGCTGCTCTGGCACGGTTAGTGAACAGCTCAGGAACTCAGAAATGAAGAATCTGTGTCTCCTGGAAACAGCCCAATAAGTTACTACTTTTCCACAAATCAGTATAAGGCTTCCATATGGGTCCTCTGATGAATGCTTTCAGATTAAAATTGTTTCCAAGATAGAGAGCTGACCCTACTTCTATTGTTTTTGTTTTTGGTCACTATATAGTCATCACATTTTTGTGTGAATATAAAACTTAGGAAGGATCCTCTTGACTCCTTTTGATGTGGCAATAAAAATTTTTAAAAAACTAAAAATACGCCTGGTGTGGTGGCTCGTGCCTGTAATCCCTGCACTTTGGGAGGCCGAGTCAGGCGGACCACAAGGACAAGAGATAGAGACCATCCTGGCCAACATGGTGAAACCCCATCTCTACTAAAATATAATAATTAGCTGGTGTGGTGGCATGCACCTATAATCACAGCTACTCGGGAGGCTGAGGAGGAGAATCACTTGACCCCAGGAGGCAGAGGTTGCAGTGAACTGAGATTGCACCACTGTACTCCAGCCTGGTGACAAAGCGAGACTCTGTCTCAAAGCAAATAAACAAAGAAAAACCTAAAAATACTTAGGAAGGATCTGAATAATTATTTTCTGCAACTTAAATAAAATGCATCATTCTTACTAATTATACCATGGTGAATTAATCACTGTTAAAGCAATATCAGTTATTTTTTAAATAATAATGTTTCTAAAGACTTAAGTCTTTTTTTTTTTTTTTTTTTTTTGAGACGGAGTTTCGCTCTTGTTACCCAGGCTGGAGTGCAATGGCGCGATCTTGGCTCACTGCAACCTCCGCCTCCTGGGTTCAAGCAATTCTCCTGCCTCAGCCTTCTGAGTAGCTGGGATTACAGGCACGCGCCACCATGCCCAGCTAATTTTTTGTATTTTTAGTAGAGACGGGGTTTCACCATTTTGACCAGGAAGGTCTCGATCTCTCGACCTCGTGATCCACCCACCTCGGCCTCCCAAAGTACTGGGATTACAAGCTTGAGCCACCGCGCCCGGCCAAGACTTAAGTCTTAATCTTAAATATGTGATTGGCCAGGTGCAGTGGCTCACACCTGTAATCCCCTTTGGGAGGCCAAGGCAGGTGGATCACCTGAGATCAGGAGTCTGAGACCAGCCTGACCAACATGGAGAAACTCCGTCTGTACTAAAAGTACAAAATTAGCCAGGCATAGTGGTGGGTGCTTGTGATCCCAGCTACTCAGGAGGCTGAGGCAGGAGAATCACTTGAACCCAGGAGGCGGAGGTTGCGGTGAGCCATGATTGCACCATTGCACTCCAGCCTGGGCAACAAGAGCAAAACTCCATCTCAATCAATCAATCGATGATTAATTTTTAAAATGTTAAAATGTTTGCTTAAATTCATTTTAATTTTGAACAAATAACCTACATTTTTTAAATGCAACATGTGTACTCAATTTCTTTATGTAATGTATGTATACACATTTGTGAATTAAAATAATATTTGATTATCTTAAAGCATCTATTCTAGTTAATGATTTGGGGGGATTTTTTTCTTCTTTGTCTCTCTCTCTCTCTAATAGTAGGAACAGCCTTTATTGGTTGCAATGGGAAATGAAAGAGGAGGGGATATGATGACTCATGTTCCCAGGGCAGTGTCCACAGAAACCATCACCACACTCCGAAAACACAGCTAACTAATGATGCTTAATAAACTGCTCCCAAGCTTTGTTGCTTAAAACAATTTATACATGTGATATAATTTTCACAATTCTGAGGGTCAGGAATTCAAAGAAGTCAGGAGGGAGGTTCATCTCTCTCTGCTTTGCAATGTCTGGAGCCTCAGCTGGCCTAGATGATGCAAATCACAGCTGGCAACTGCCTAAGACATCCGTTCCCTCCCTCTCTCTCCCCTCTCAACACAGCTATCCCACCATGGCACTTCAGGGTAGCCAGACTTCTTATGTGACAAAGCGGGGCTCCAAGAGACCAACGTGGAAATTATCTAGCCCTCTTAAAGGCTATGATTGCCACTGGTACAGTACCACTTCCACAGTAATGTCAAAGCAGGCATAGACCAGCTCAGGTTCAAGGGGAAGAGACGTAGATATCCAACTCTCAACAGGAGGAATGTCAAAAAAAAATTGCACTCATCTTTAATCCTCTACAATATCATTATAAACAGAAATGCTTCTTTAAGAATTCTGGATATCAAGTACCTATCAATAGTAGATTGAATAAAGAGAGTGTGGTACATATACACCATAGACTACTACACAGACATAAAAAAGAATGAAATTGTGTCCTTTGCAGCAATATGGATGGAGCTGGAGGCCATTATCCTAAGCAAATTAATGTAGGAACAGAAAACCAAATACTGCATGTTCTCACTTGTAAGTGGGAGCTAAGACTGGGCATGGTGGCTCATACCTGTTATCCCAGTACTTTGGGAGGCCGAGGCAGGCAGATCACCTGAGGTCAGGAGCTCAAGATCAGCGTGGCCAACATGGTGAAACCCCATCTCTACTAAAAATACAAAAATTAGCCAGGCATGGTGGCACACCTGTAATCCCAGGTACTCGGGAGGCTGAGGTAGAAGAATCACTTGAACCCAGGAGGCAGAGGTGCAGTGAGCCAAGATCGCACCATTGCACTCTAGCCTGGGCAACAAGAGCAAAACTCTGTCTCAAAAACAAAAAAACAAACAAACAAACAAACAAAAATCTGAGTGTGGTGGCTTATGCCTGTAATCCTAACACTTTGGGAGGCTGAGGAAGGTGGATCACGAGATCAGGAGTTCAAGACCAGCCTGACCAATATAGTGAAACCCAGTCTCTACTACAAATACAAAAAATTAGCTGGGTGTGGTGGCGTGCACCTGTAATCCTAGCTACTCAGGAGACTGAGGGAGGAGATTTGCTTGAATCCGGGAAGCAGAGGTTGCAGTGAGCCAAGATCATGCCACTGCACTTCAGTCTGGGCAACAGAGCAAGACTCCATCTCAAACAAAACAAAACAAAACTATTGGGTACTTTGCTCACTGCCAGGGTGACAGGATTCATACTTCAAATCTCGGCATCACACAATATTCCCATGTAACGAATCTGCACATGTACCCCCCCCAACTAAAATAAAATTTGAAATTTTAAAAAAAGGAAATGGGTATGTAAACACGTATAAACTAAAACTAACTGTATATATGAAAACAACACTGACCTTCAGATGGCAAATGGACAAGTCTAATTTCAGAATGATTTCAGAAAAAGCATGGACCTATTGATATATTTTCACCTTCTGTTCATATATATATATATATATATATATATATAGAGAGAGAGAGAGAGAGAGAGAGAGAGAGAGAGAAGGGGGGGGGAGAGAGAGAGAGAGAGAGAGAGACACCAGTGTAAGATCAGTAAAGCATACCTTTATATCAGTGACCCCTTCATGGTGCAAATTGGTTGCATTTTAGACTACATATCCCTTCCAAATCACTTTTTCCCTAAGGAATATAAGCCCTGGGTCTTGTGGGTAACGGTGCAGGGATCCACCATTTTGTCTTACCACCGTTCTGTTGATAAGTCCCTATGAAATGTTTCTTTTCTTTTCTTTTCCTTTTTTTTTTTTTTTTTTTGAGACAGAGTCTCGCACTGTCACCCAGGCTGGAGTGCAATGGCACAATCTCAGCTCCCTGCAACCTCCGCCTCCTGGGTTCACCCAAGGACACAGATATGGCTTCTGTTCGTAAGTCCCTATAAAATGTTTCTTTTTTTTCTTTTTTTATTTTGAGATGGAGTCTCACATTGTCGCCCAGTCTGGAGTGCAATGGTGCAATCTTGGCTCACTGCAATCTCTACCTCCCAGATTCACGCGATTCTCCTGCCTCAGCCTCCCAAGTAACTAGGATTACAGGGGCACACCACCACACCAGGCTAATTTTTTGTATTTTTAGTTGAGACGGTTTCATTATGTTGGTCTCAAACTCCTGGTCTCGAACTCCTGACCTCATGATCTGCCCACCTTAGCCTCCCAACGTGCTGGAATTACAGGCGTAAGCCACCGTGCCCAGCTGAAATATTTCTTTCTGAAAAACTGGATATGTCAGCCTCTTTAGCCTCTGAGCTTCCCCAGACTTCAGTGATAGGTTGGCATAGTCTTGTGCACAGTGGAATGTGTTTAGAAAGTGAGATTAAACCTGCATTAAAAACAATCCTAAAATAAGGTAGAAAATAATAAGTACCATAGAGAGCCAAGAAGTTTGCAAATTGTTCGGAGGAAAGAGATTGCATCCAACTGTGGAGGTGAAGAAACTCTGGAAATCTATATCCTTGTCTTTGGGGTTTCCCAAAGATCCTCCTCTTATCCCAGTCCCTGCTGGAGTCTTTGTCTTATCTGTCTCTGCTACTCACTGCAAGTTTAAAAACATATTTCAATTTCTATAATTTCTCAATTTTCTTTTGAAAATTGTGAATGGAGCAGTCTTTTTGCCTGCCACCGTCCACAGATGTGGCTTGCTCCTCCTCTACCTCCACCGTGATCATGAGGCCTCCCCAGCCATGTGGAACTGTGAGTCCAACTAAACCTCTTTCTTTTGTAAATTGCCAGTCTCTGGTAGGTCTTTATCATCAGCGGAAAACAGACAAATACAGTAAATTGGTACCAGTCGAGTGGGTCACTGCTGAAAAGGTACCTGAAAATGTGGAAGCGACTTTGGAACTGGGTAACAGGCAGAGGCTGGAACAATTTGGAGGGCTCAGAAGAAGACAGGAAAATGTGGGAAAGTTTGGAAATTACTAGAGACTTGTTGAATGACTTTGACAAAAATGCTGATAGCAATGTGAACAATAAAGTCCAGGCTGAGGTGGGCTTAGATGGAGATGAGGAACTTATTGGGAACTGGAGCAAGAGTGACTCATAATGTTTTAGCAGAGACTGGTGGTATTTTGCCCCTGCCCTAGAGATTTGTGGAACTTTGAACTTGAGAGAGATGAGTTAGGGTATCTGGTGTGTAGTAGTCCATTTTCAGGCTGCCAATAAAGACATACCCATGACTGGGTGATTTACAAAGGAAGGAGGTATGATGGACTCACAGTTCCACTTGACTGGGGAGGCTTCACAATCATAGTGGAAAGTGAAAGGGACGTCTCACATGGGGCAGACAAGAGAAGAGAGCTTGTGCAGGGGAAACTCCCCTTTCTTTTTTTTTCTTTTTTTGAGATGGAGTTTTGCTCTTGTTACCCAGGCTGGAGTGCAATGGTGCGATCTCGGCTCACCGCAACCTCCGCCTCC